CAGGAGGGTGAGACAACAGGTCGGGGTGCCACATGGGGCACACCACAGGCGTATTCTAAAGGGGGAAAAGAAACGGGGAATGAGGGGCCCCGCCACGAGAAGTGCGTTCTGGGGATGCAGAGCGTGCAAAGCGGCTAGGGATGAGGCCGCAAAAGAGGAGCGCGAGGCAAGCGCAAGGAGGAGAATCGGAGAACTGAGAGACTGGGACGACTGGAAACAAGAAGACAGCGAGCCACCACAGGCGTCGTTGGCGCACATACTGAGCGGCAGCTGCGCTGGAAATAAGGAAGAGGCGCGTCACTTCATGCGGAAGCTTGACAAACACGCGGCGAGGGCGACAGCAAGAGTCGAACTGCAACTGGAGTCGAACGGGAGGCGCCGGACTCAAAAGACACCGCCACATTCCTGAGACGCGCGAGGGCAGCCTCCTTAAAGGCAATGGGGTCTAGATTTGGAGCGCTCGCCGAAGACGAGTACGACAAAATAGCGCCCGTGATTGCATGCACGCTGCCCCGGCACTCACGGACTCCATACCCGAAATAAGAAAGAGAGGGGGCAGACCCGAGGCGTGAGAGGGCAGACCCGGGGCGAGAGGGGGCAGACCCGAGGCGTGAAGTGTTGTTGGACCTTGGTGCGTGCTGGCTCGTGTGGAAGCTCTACGTGTGAATCGGGTGCATGCGTACTTTCTTTCGTCTCGCTTTCTTCGTTTTATCAGTCGTTTTTTTCTTTCTTTCGATGGCGCCCCTTAACTTTCATTTCTCTTGGCCATTCGTGCTATAAATGCTACAAATATCTTGGATAAGTCTAGCCGCCCAGCGATGCAAGTGCCCTACTGCCCCCATAAGCCGTAGTCCAAGCCAGCCATGAGATGGCACGGCTCAGATGTGACGATGAAAGCTTGCAGGCGAGACGAGGACTCATTCATGAAGCTGAACTCGCGACCCGCCACTGCTCCTGAGTGCCTGCTTGGCTGCCTCGCCGATGGGGTTGAAGCGCAGGTCGAGCTCAGCCACCGTCGTGTTGACCCTGAGGCTCTCGCCGAGGGCGGCCGCGCCCGCGTCCCCGATGTTGTTGTTGAAGAGCAAGAGCCTCTCCATCACGGTGGTGGTCTTCACGGCCTCTGCGAGGGCGGCCGCGCCCGCGTCCCCGATGTTGTTGTTGAAGAGCGTGAGGTTCTCCAACACGGTGTTGGTCTTCACGGCCTCCGCGAGGGCGGCCGCGCCCGCGTCGCCGATCCGATTGTTGTAGAGAATCAGCTGCTTCAGCGCGTTGTTGGACTTGAGCCCCTCGGCGATGGCGATGGCGCCAGGGTCGCCGATGCGGTTGGTGCCGAGGGCAAGGGTCTGCAGCCCTGTGTTCGCCTTGAGCCCCTCGCCGACTGCTGCCGCGCCTGCCTCGCC